GAAGAGCCCAACGCCTGCGGGGCGGGGTGGGGGTCCCGGGGCGTTGAGGGGCCGGGGAGAGACCTCGGAAGGTCCGGGGACCCCGCTAAGGCGGGCGCAGCGCTTTCGATGCTCGTCCCCCTTCCGCAACTCTTACAAGCTGACAGCAGACGCCCCTGCCTTCGTCACTTTTCACGGACCCAGGAGTCCCGGCGCCCGGGCTGCCCGTACTCACCGCCCAAGAGCCCAGGCCAAGAGCTACCTCACCGGTTATGGAGTCAGGAAGTCAAGGCCTCAGTCCCCTTCCAAGTAATGGATCCAGAAGTTTAGACCTAAGCTCTGTTTTCCCCCCTTAGACTCAAGAGCTCAGGTTCCCCCTTGTCCTTTCCCTCAAACTCAAAAGCCCGCCCCAGGTCCCCTCCTCCCGCAGGACTCCTGGCCCAGCCCTTCCTCTGTTGGAATCCTGACTTCCAGCCCGTTTTTCCATCAGATATGGGAGGCCGCGTTCTCTACCCCAGCCGCATCCTCTCCAAGATTGCAGTCATCTCGGCTCCTAGATCGAAGAACTGATTTCTAAATTCTGATCCCCCTCAGAGCCCCCAGACCTGACCCCAGAGGAACGGATGGAGCTGGAGAACATCCGCCGGCGGAAGCAGGAGCTGCTGGTGGAGATCCAGCGCCTCCGAGAGGAGCTCAGCGAAGCCATGAGTGAGGTGGAGGGTCTGGAGGCCAATGAGGGCAGGTGAGGGCTGGGGCGGAGAACTTGGGGGCGGGGGTGTGGCAAGAGCCCAGCATGTCCAAGCATTGACCTTTGACGCCCTCAAGCCCACCTTGCTCTCTGCCCCTGCAGCAAGACTTTGCAGCGGAACCGGAAGATGGCAATGGGCAGGAAGAAATTCAACATGGACCCCAAGAAGGTACACGGGGCCGCAGGACTGGGATCAGGCAGACAGGAGGTGTTGTTCTGGCACCTTGAAGTTCCCAAGTGTGACAGGTACAGGTGTCCTCTAGGCAGACAGACTGGGTCCCGACCCCTGGCCGCCTGTTTGTTTTAGGAACACTCCCCAAGCGTTGCAGCCTCCGGACTCTTGCTTGTGTTCTTGCCCCGCCTGAGGGGTCCTCTGCCCCTGTTCTGGATGCTCTCCAGGTCCCAAGAGGAGCTCCAGTGTGGTAGGGGTTATGGCCAAAACGACATGCGCAAGGAGTGTAGGCCATCGCGCCTGAGGGCCGAGGTTCCAGGGCAGGGGCAGGAGCTAGAAGAGCCAGGAGGGCTCCCTTGAGGAGGAGGAGGCTTTCAGGTTTGAAGGGTGGGCATTTGCTCACCAGGTGCAGGAAAGACATCTCTATAGAGTGTTGTTCAGACTGATGTAAAACTTACTCTGCGGCTCAGGCTGGCCTCGCACTCGATGTGAACCTCTTATCTCAGCCTCCCAAGTGCTGGGATTACAGATCTTCGCCACCATACCTGGCAGAGGAAATACATTTGTTCCTTTATTTCACACCCATTGGCTGAAGCCTACCCAAGGCCTGACTCTGTGCTAGGTGATACTGGGGACCTTAAGAATCTCACCACCCCTCACGGAGACCCTGGACATAGGAACCGCAGTTCTGAGGCTTGTAGCTGTGATGGCCAGCTCAGCCTGGGGCTTCATGTTCACAGCCTTTGACAGAGTGCAGCACCGATGGCATCTCTCTTTATTCATGCCTGTAGCAGTTACAGTTTGTTCAGTCATTCAACAAACAAACTGAACCCCTGATGAGGCTGGGGTGGGTTTGGTGTTGAGGTTCGTGGATTGTCCAGGGAGCAGGGACTTTCTGGCCTTCGGTACTGAGACCTGGCCCCCACCCACCAGGGCATCCAGTTCTTGGTGGATAACGAGCTGCTGCAGAACACACCCGAGGAGATCGCCCGTTTCCTGTACAAGGGCGAGGGTCTGAACAAGACCGCCATCGGGGACTACCTGGGGGAGAGGTGAGACACCTGCCTGCACCCTGCAGCCGGAGAATGGGGATGCCCTGCCCGCGTGTGACAGGGCAGTGACAGGGTGGACTGACGGGCTGGGAGAGCTGGACAGCACTGTGGGTGTGGGATCTCGCTGCTGAGGAGGTCTGGGGACTTAGGTCTGTGGCAGTGGTGAACACCTGCAAGTGCTGTCACGGCTTGGGGACTGGGCCCCATGGACATCTAGGAGTCGGGGGCTTGGGCCTGACAGTGGGGACCCGAGGGGTATGGACATCGGGGGGCGGGGCACGATAGCACATGGGGAGCGTGGGAGTGTCTGAGACGGGTGGCCGCGTGGCTGGCGCCTTTCTCTCACTGTTCACACGCTCCTGGCGAGAGCCAGCTGTCAGCGTTCACCCCAGGGCCAGGCCTGTCACGGGCTCGGGTGGGGCTTTCACCCTCTGCAGAGGGGAGCCCCCGACTCCCCGTGTGACTTTGCCCCTCTCTTCCCAGGGAAGAACTGAACCTGGCAGTGCTCCATGCTTTTGTGGATCTGCACGAGTTCACCGACCTCAATTTGGTGCAGGCCCTCAGGTGAGAGGGATGGGTCAGAAGGGCAGGAATGGATGCTTGGGCAGGAGTGATGGTCCCTGCCTACTCTGAACAAATAGGTGCGAGCAAAAGTAGAAACAAACCTAAGGAGCTGACTGACGGTTGTAACACAAGCCACAAGCAGGGTCTTCTTCAGGCAGGGAATCAAGGTGCCTAAGTGGAATCAGAAAGTTAGCTTCCTGTGTCTCACACTGGTGCTGGCCATCGTGTTGGTAGTGCCCTGTGGACAACCCCCTATGGCAGCGGAAGCCCCGAGCAACCACTAGACCTCTTTAGCAAACCTAGAGATCCACCGGAAGTCCCCTGGCTGATACTCATTTATCAGGCTGAGTCACAAGTCCACACCTCAAGTAGCTGAGGACAGAAGGTTGGGTGTCTCAATGGCCACTTCCTAGCGGAGAGACAAGAGTGAGGAGGAGCTTCTGGCCCCAATACCACACCTGTCTCTCCTCAAACCAGGCAGTTTCTGTGGAGCTTTCGCCTCCCTGGAGAGGCCCAGAAAATTGACCGGATGATGGAGGCCTTTGCTCAGCGATACTGCCTGTGCAACCCTGGGGTTTTCCAGTCCACAGGTGGGGCCCAACTCCTGGGTCCTGGGTGCAAGAGGCTGGGCCCAGACCCCTGGGTCTGAGGGAGGAGGCTGGGCCCGGACCCCGGGTCTGAGGGAGGAGGCTGGGCCCGGACCCCCAGGTCTGAGGGAGGAGGCTGAGCCCGGACCCTGAGTCTGAAGGAGGAGGCCTGTGGCCCATACATCTGGGCTGTCACCCCCATCCTGTTCTGTGCAGACACGTGCTACGTGCTGTCCTTTGCTGTGATCATGCTGAACACCAGCCTTCACAATCCCAACGTCAGGGACAAGCCTGGTCTGGAGCGTTTTGTGGCCATGAACCGGGGTATCAACGAGGGCGGGGACCTGCCTGAGGAGCTGCTCAGGGTCAGCCCACGTTCCTGCCCCTTCCCTGCCCCTGGGCTCCCCAGTACCTGCTGTCCTGCCTCCTCCCGCAAAGGCCTGCCCTGCCCGGCAGCACCCATGTTTTCTGTCTCCCTCTCTGTGCCCTGCCCTCAGTCTGCCTTGTTTCTCCAGCTCTGCCGGGTCCCAATCTGTCCCATTCTCTGTCCGAGCCCGTGTCACGTTCCCTCTCTTCCCTGTACTCCTTCCACTCCACTCCCTCTGTCCCCTTAGCCCCTGCCTGCCCCCCACCGTAGTCTCGCTGCCCCGAGTGCCCTGGGAGCGTCCAGGGCCTGGGATCACTGACCCAGCCTTCACCCCTCAGAACCTCTACGATAGCATCCGGAACGAGCCCTTCAAGATCCCTGAGGACGATGGGAACGATCTGACCCACACCTTCTTCAACCCGGACCGGGAGGGCTGGCTCCTTAAGCTGGGTACATCCCCTCCTGACCCCTCTGGCTGCCTCTGTGGGGGACGCCAGTGAGCCCAGCTCAGACCTCGGCTTCCGCACATACCCACTGTGCAACCTGAGGCGAGGGATTCGACCTCTCTGAACCTCAGATTCCACATCCAAAAATGGAACTGGGCAAGGGCAGGCCTGAGTGCTGGCTCTGGCCCAGGGCATGAACTCTGCCCCCGAGGAAGCCACAGACAGCATAGTCCACCTCTGGACGACTGTCCCCTTGGTGCACTCCCCTGCAGTTAACGGGAACCCGGCCCAAGGAGATGGCACCCAGGGGACCTGTTACCCAGGCCCAAATGCTCCCGGGCCCAGGCAGCCGGCTCTGCAGGGCTCTGTTGTCCCATCTGCTGGCCACATCATCAGGCCAGCAGCATAGTGACTGCTCCCATTTCTTGCCACCCCCGGAATGTCACAGGCTGAAGACAAGGACAGCTGTCTGGAGTCCCTCGGGGGACTCCCCGCCTGGCTGGCTGGGCTGCTGGCTGGGTGGGAGTAGCTTGGCCGGGTGGAGATGAGTCGAGTCCCCAGCCGGAAGTGGGTGCTGGTCCCCTTGTGACCCAAAAGATTCTGGTCAGCCAGCATGGGTCACAGGAGGTGGTAGTCACCATGAGGCGCCGAGTCTCCAGCTCCAGCTGCATGTGACAGTCACCTGGGCCTTCTGAGGACCCCGGGAGCCAAGCCACATCCCTGCAGACTGTAGCTCAGTGCAAGGCCCCGGCCTACACAGACCCCGCATCCTGCTTGCCAGCGAGAGTGCTGTCCTGCTTCAAAGCTTCAGAGAGAGGCAGGGAGGTGGTGTCACCGTGAGCCGGTGCCCCAGGGCTGTCCCTGTCAGCGGGAAGTCCCCGATTTCCCAGCAGTGGAAACAGGCCCAGCCTCCGACCCACAACCCCAGGACGGGTGTCTGACCAAAGTGCATGGTTCCCTTTGTGGCCCTTAGAAACGGTGACTTTCCTTGGTACCCTGAAAGGCAGCTTGTGATGTCCCTACTCCTGATGAGGGCCAGTAGATGTCACTCTGTCCTTTCCTTTCCCTGTGGGAAAGCAGAAGCAGGTCACCTTGCTGCGGGACGGGGTGGGCCCAGATGGGTCCCAGGCTGGAGTCCAGGCAGGCCGAGTGCCCTAAGGTCACACAGCCGCTCTGTGCCACAGCTGAGAACTGACATGAACCCCAAAGGTGGGGACATGCTCCCCGTGGCCACAGGAGCCTCCTGGCTAAGACGTGCTGGGGGGCTGGAGCTGAACCCAGAGGTGGGGGGTGCTCATGGCCTCCATGGGGCTGAAGTCCCTTGGCTTCCCTGGGAGGGAGAGGCTGTGGCCGTGCCCGCCCCGTGTGTATATAACTGTTTTTCTTCCTCTCTCCCTCCCTCCCTCTCTGCGTGGCTGTGTCTCTTGTCTGTCTGTCCTGCCTCTGCGCATTCTCCCTCGCCCACCCTGTCTCTGCTGCCACGGCTCTGGGGGCTCCCATCTTCCACCTCCCCTCTCCTGCACCTGGTCCTGCTGCTTTCTCGCTGTCTGCCCCAGGAGGTAGGTGCCCGCCGGCCTCGCCCCGCCCCGCCCTGAGCTGCACATGGGCACGGGAGGGCTCCTCCTGGTCCTGGGTGACAGAAGGGCCTCAGAAGCGCTGGGGGTGGGCTCCTTCCCGATCCCAAACTTGTCTGTCCCCGCTTGCTGTCTCTTCCCACCCCGCTGCCTTTCCTGCTGTGCCCGCCTCCCTCCCCCCAGAGCTCCAGGCCCCCTGTTGAGCCCAGGCCCCCTCCCACCCCTTCCCTTTCAGGGGGCCGGGTGAAGACGTGGAAGAGGCGCTGGTTCATCCTCACTGACAACTGCCTCTACTACTTTGAGTACACAACGGTGAGAGGCGGGCTGGAGCCCCAGGTCCAAGGGAGGAGGGGCTGTGCGGGACCACTGGGTCCGCAGGAGGAGGCTGGGCCTGGATTCCGGGTCTGGGGAGCAGGGGCTGAGGTAACGACGGAGAGGTTTAAATTCTGCCCACCGTGCTTCTGTAGGACAAGGAGCCCCGAGGAATCATTCCCCTGGAAAACCTGAGCATCCGAGAAGTGGATGACCCCCGGAAACCAGTAAGGCTCTCAGTACCGCTTCAGGCCCGCATGGGGCCCTAATCTGGCTCCGCTACTGGCTCATAACCCGCTGTCTCTCTGCCGTGTCTCCCAGAACTGCTTTGAGCTTTACATCCCCAACAACAAGGGGCAGCTCATCAAAGCCTGCAAAACGGAAGCAGACGGACGGGTGGTGGAGGGGAACCACATGGTGTACCGGATCTCGGCCCCCACGCAGGAGGAGAAGGACGAGTGGATCAAGTCCATTCAGTGAGCCCAGGCCCCTCCATCCCGTGGGTCTGGGGAGGAGGCTGGGCCCGGACTCCTCCATCGGTGATCTCTCCTCTGTAGGGCCGCTGTGAGCGTGGACCCCTTCTATGAGATGCTGGCTGCGAGGAAGAAGAGGATTTCTGTCAAGAAGAAGCAGGAGCAGCCCTGACCCCTGCCCCACTCTTATTTATTATGGAGCTGCCCCGCCCAGGTGGCCGGACCCCTGGGCCAAGGGGGCTGTGGATCCTGGTCCTCCATTTGGAAAATTCACCACCTCCCTCCAGCTCCTCCGTATTTGTAATTAACAAGCTGTTGGTAATCTTATTCATTATTTAACCACTCAAGCCTGCGGGCCCCTTTGTTTCTTGGGATGAGCAGAGCTGAGGTGCTCAGCTTTTAGAATTTGGAGTGTCGAGCTGGGCCAGTCGCAGCTGCTGGGCAGCGCGTAGGGCTCCAGAGCAGGTGCTGTCAGAGGGCTTTAGTAGGCGGGAGTCAGTGTGCAGAGCCGGTCGATCCAGACACCGCGGTCAGAAGGCAGGTTCCGGGGAGCCAGTGTCGCTCTCCGTGCACCCTGACAGCTGACCAGCCCCGCCTTCCTGGCCTGTGGTCTGAGGGTGGCGAGTTGAGGTAGGGTGAGATCCTTGCCAGTAAATGGGAGGAAGAGTCCAGAGGACGGGAGGAGGGGGGTCTTGGGGAACAGTCCTGGTCAGTGGGTTGCTCTGGGTGGTGTCCCTGGAGGGGACACAGCAGACACAGGGTGCCTTGTGTGCGGGAAGGGACAGCATTAGGGCCAGTGCCTTGGAGCTAGGCTTCACCACTGAACTTTGAGCCTCCTGGGGGGGTCACGCCAAGGGGCTGCCTTTCCAGTGTTACTTGTGCTACGTTGGGAGCCGCAGAGCCACCAATGGCTGAGTTCGGTGGAGTGGGCGGGCAGCTTCCCGGGCCTTAGCCCGGATGCTGGTGTCAGCTCCTCAGTAGCGTGACGACTGCTGCCCTTGTAAAAGGGGTACCGCAGCCCGCGAGACAATGGACTGCAGCTCCCAGCAGGCTGCGCGGGTAGCCCCCTAGGCAGAGCCGCCAGGGTGAGCGCTGGGGGCTGCGTGGCCGTGGCTGGCGATGACTGGACCCATGTCAAATGCTTTCAAAGAGGAGCTTCCAGCTGAGTGGAGTTCTACCAACTGCCGTGTTCCGGAGGGAGTTCTGGGGGTGGAAGTCGGTTGTTCTGTTTGCCAAATTAAGCTGCAGATGCCTATGGAACAGTGGAGCCAGACTGCAGTCACCTCGGTTGCCCTTTAGTTCTTCCTTGACTCACCTCCCAGGACTGAGAAGTCTGAATCCCAGCTCCCTCACCTGGACCTCAACCCCAACCCTCCTTTTACAGGCTGAATTGTCTTCAGATTCCTATGTTGAACCTCACCAGCCCTAGCTCAGAATACAATCCACCCCACCGGAGACAGGGTCTCACTATGTAGCCCAGGCTGGTCTCGAACTCACAGCCATCCTCCTGCCTCAGCCTCCTAAGTACTGGGATTACAGGCGTGCACCACCACGCCCGGCTTCAGAATACCATCTTAATTTGGAAATGGGTTATGGCAAATATAATTACTTGACATGAAGTCATTGGCGTGGGTACTGATCCAGTGTGACTGCTGTCCTTAGAAGACGGACAAAATCGGACAGACACGGGAGAGTGGCACACAGAGAGAAGGCAGGTGTGGGATGGAGCCCAGGACCAAGGGCTGGCAGCAGCATAGTGCCAGGAACAGGGTAGGAAAGGCATGGAGCAGACTGCCTCACACTGCCCCACCCCGGGCCAGCACACCCGAGATCGTACTAAGGGCCGCCCCTGAGTACACGGGCAGTGGCTATGGCTGCACAGGCAAAACCCCTCTCTCTCGCTTTCCCAGTTGCTGGAGACTCCTGTGACCATAATGTCCACACCACCTTAATTCCTAAACTTAGTCTCAGGTCCACTCCTTGTCTCTTCCTCTGCCATCCAGCGCGCTCCTAAATGTGCCAGTGAATCTGGTCCCAGGTGACAGGACGGCCAGGCTCAAAAGATGCATAGGTGGCCAGTACAGGGAGAGACAGGTGCAGGCAGAAACAAGGGGACAGAAGCCCGGGGCAGGAAGAGGCAGAGAGGGAGAGAGACAACCCAGATGGACGGAAGAAAGCACCACAGTAGGTGGAGGCCAAAACAGCAGAGTGGCTCAGAAGCATGGGGAGAACAAGGAATCTGCACAGAAGTGAGGCCAGGCTGAGGTCAAGAGATGAGGATGTCAGGGAGGCAGGAGTCACATGGAAAAGCAGGTAAACTGAGGCAGTACCAGCACGAGCAGGGATGACAACACTGGCCTTCAAGGATAGGCGATGGCAGACCAAGAAAGTGTCCAACGTGGGCATCAGCAGATCACTTTTGATCCTCATCCCTACCACCTGCCCCTGTCCTAGACAGCTTGTGGCCACCTCTGGAAACGTGGCTCCCACCACAGCTGCCACCTGGCCCACCCTGCCGCTCCTCAGGGCCGCCTGTTCAGTTGAGGCTACTACTGAACTTTTGGGAGTCTTGTCTTTTTTTTGAGACAGGGTCTTGCTATGGAGCCCAGGCGGGCCTCGAACTCTTGGCGATCCTCCCGCCTCAGCCTCCCGGGTGCTGGGAGATGTTGGGAGTTTTGAACTCTGGACCCCGACCAGGGACCAGGAAAGGCTCTCCCACCACGCCAGAGGAGCATCGGGGACAGTATCTTCACCTGCACCCACTGAAACACACACAGATGCCACGTTCCTCCAAAAAGTTGTTTTTGTCTTTTTTAAATAATGTGAAAATGCCACGCGAAGGTTGAACCAGAGGCCCCTCCAGGGGCCAGGCTGAGGAGGGCAAGGGAGACGGAGATGGGGTCCAGGTCCCCGAAGCCTGCGGCCCCTGCACGGGGTGGGAGCGGGTGAGGAGGGGCCTCCACTGTGCCCCGGGCTCCAGGCCCAAAGAGTTCAGTTCAATTCCAAGAAAGGCGACTCCAGGGAGGGCGAGGGGCTTCTTGCCTCATTTGGCACCAAGGGGGTCCGGGGGGTCGGGGAG